GTTTTCAAATCAGTAATGCTTTCTCCCATATTATGTTTTCTTCTTGTGATTGTTTGGCTATTTTGGGGTATATTAGTTGTAAAGTGTTTTAGGATAGGCATTTGGTTTAGGGTGGAGTTTTGATCAGGATTGCATTGGAACTGTAAATTGCAATGGTTAGTATTGAGATCTTAGCAATAAGTCTTCCAATGCATGAAAACAGGATTTGTGTCATTTAATGTCTTCACAAAGTTTGACATTTCACTGTGCAAGTCTTCATTTTTTTTGTTAAGTTAATCACTAAGTAGTTTATTCTTTCTGAACGAATTGTAAACAAATCTGTTTTCTTAATTTCCTTTTCCATTTGATCATTAGTGTACAGAAGTGCCACTGATTTTCAGCATTGACTTTGGTGAATGTCCTTGTTACTTTGCTGAAATAATTTTTATTTATAACATTGTTTTTTTTTTGTGGAATACTTAGGATTTCTACATTTGAGACCATGTCATGGGTGGACATAGATAATTCTACCTCTTTTCAGTTTAAAATGTCGCTGATTTATCTGTCTGTATGTATGTCTATCTTTCCTGACTCTTATGGCTAAGACTCTGAGTGCTGTGTTGCATAGAAGTGGAAAAACCTAGCATTCTTATGTGTTTCCTTATCTCAAAGGAAAAATTTTCAGTCTTCATCACTGGCTGTGATGTTGGCTGTGAGATTTACTTGTCTGTGTGTAGTCAGTTGTGTTCAACTCTTCACGACCTTTTGCACTGTAGCCCGCCAGGCTCCTCTGTCCATGGGACTCTCTAGTCAAGAATAGTGGAGTAGGTTGATGTTTCATCCTCTAGGGGATTTTCCTGATCCAGGGATCGGACCTCTGTCTCTTGCAACTCCTGCTTCGCAGGCAGATTCTTTACTGCTGAGCCACCAGGGACTTTAACTTTATGGTGGTAGTTGCCTTCAAGTGTTATTTGTCAAGTTTTTTTTTTTTTTAATCATGAAAAGGTTTTAAAATTTTTAAATTGCTCTCTCTGCATTGAGATCATGGTTTTTCCCTGTGTTATGTGAATGTGGTGCATTGCTTGCTTTCTTGCTTGCTTGCTAAGGTGATTCAGTCGTGTCCAACTCTGTGAGACCCCCATGGACAGCAGTCCACCAGGCTCCTCTGTCCACAGGATTCTCTAGGCATGAACTCTGGAGTGGGTTGCCATTTCCTTCTCCAACGTGGTGCATGATACCAATGCATTTTACTATGATGAAGCATTCTTGCATTCCAGGAAAAATCCCACTTGTGTATATTGTATAATTCTTATTACATGAATTGATATAAATGATTACATATATATGTATATACATATATAGCATGCTGACTACATCAGCTCTGGCTTCCTAAACCCTGGTAGAGTGGCAGGTGGCCAAGACACAGCACTGGACCACAGAAGTTAATGCTTCTAATTTCTCATGATCATTATCACTACTGATCCATGGGTGTTGTTTCACACAGTCAGTGACTATCTGACTTAGACCTGTAACTGCCCATCTCCTGCCCCCACGTCTCACTGCACTCCTTCCTTCTGGGACTCACTCAAACTACATCCTTCCTCATTCTCAGTGAGAGCCTGAGAGAGGCAAATGCTCGTAGTCTGAAAATGTTTTCTTCTGAAAATTTTCTTATTTTGCTTTTATTCTTGAGTGATAGTTTAGAATGAAAAATCTACAGACCATTTCTGTGATGTTTCCTTTGGCATCTGAAGCTGTTTTTCCCTTGTGTTCCCTGCTTCATTGTGACTGGTGACTGGTCTACTGTTGGGTCTCACTTGGTCTGCCTTCCCTGCTCTGTGATAAAGTCTCCAATTGTCTTTAATATTCCACAGTCCATTACTATATGGTGAGGTTTGAGGAACCTCCATACTGTTCTCCATTATGGGTGTGTTTCATAGCGTCTTATTCATTGATGGTTCCAATAGTGTCTTTTACGACTTTAACAGATTTATAGGAATTTCTTTTATAAGGTAGTCAAATTATTCTATTTCATGAAGCACTTGAGGTCTAATCCTCCCATTGAAGTCTCTGCTGACCCTCGTTCATGGTGCCATAAAGGCAAGTTTTGCTGATACTGGATCCTTTCTTGTTTGTAGGGTTTGATATGTATATAAATATGTTTTTTTGTTGTTGTTGGTTTTGCTCATGTGACGGAGCTAAAAATTTCTACCTGATGCCATTTATGTTAAGTGTTATTTTGGTTTTCAGTCAGGAAAGGAATTTTAATTTTCTCAAATACATTCCAGGGCCTATGGAGAAGAACATTTAGAATTCTTCTGAAGTATCATTTCCTTCATGTTCCTCCCAACAGAAAAATGTCACTTATCACTCCAGTTAAAATAAAACATCCCCCACTCCCTGCCTTCACCCACTTCCTTTGCTTAGTTTTATCCATAGCAATTATAATCAGACACTGGCTGCCTGAATCAGAGGCTGTTTTATTCCATCTGGGCGGCTGTACCAAATACCATAGACCAAGTAGCATATGAACAGCAGAAATTTACCTTAACAGTTATAGGTGCTGAGAAGTCCAAGATCAAGGTGAATGCAGATTCCATGACTAGTGAGGAACCACTTTCTTGTTCCTAGGAAGATTGTTTTCAGTGCACTCCCACCTGTCAGAAGAGGGGAGGGGCTCTCCCAGGCCTGTTTTGCTAGCGCTCTCTTCTTCCATGAGGGCTCTGTCTCTGACTTAATCACATCCTCTGGCCCCACCTCCTCATAATATCACCTTAGAGGTTAAGATTTCAGCATATGAATGACTCCTGAGGGCCCTGCACATGCTCAGTACAGGAAGAGAGGAGACCACACCCAGCATTCCGGGAGGGCTCCACGCATGCACGGTGCAGGGGCTAAATGTGGACCCACTGCTGTTTGAGGTATTTTTTAATATGTCACTGATTTTTATCTGTCTCATCTATGTTGAAAATATATTTTCACATCTGTCACTTACTATAACCTCGTTGGTGTTCTTTCTCCTTTATGGCAACTGTGCTTCGCTTTGTTTTTCCAATAAAAACTTGAATTTTTTTAATTTATTTAGCAAGGTTGAAGTTACACAGAGCAATCGTTCAACCTAGGAATAGAAAGGAAAATTTTACACGTTGGAAATGAAGGATGAATTAAACATGGAAAACCTAAAAGTACCAATTGGAAAGTACATATTGTGCTTCATTGGTACAACTAAATGCTGGGTTTTTGAAAAGGAAAGTATTATTTTTCTATACAGAAACAAATGAACGCTGTGAAGCCAATAAAAAAATTGGTGTATTATGAATAAAACTGGAAAACCTGTATAAAACAGAATTATGTAATGATACTGAACAATTTCATACCTATAAATTTGACTTGATAGGCTAAATGAATAATTTTCTGAACAACAAAAATTACCAAATTTCAATCTAGAGTAGACAGAAACTTTCTTTTTTTTTTTCTTTTTTTTTCCATTTATTTTTATTAGTTGGAGGCTAATTACTTTACAACATTGCAGTGGTTTTTGTCATACATTGAAATGAATTAGCCATGGATTTACATGTATTCCCCATCCCGGTCCCCCCTCCCACCTCCCTCTCCACCCCATCCCTCTGGGTCTTCCCAGTGCACCAGGCCTGAGCACTTGTCTCATGCATCCAACCTGGGCTGGTGATCTGTTTCACCCTAGATATACATGTTTCGATGCTGTTCTCTTGAAACATCCCACCCTCGCCTTCTCCCACAGAGTCCACAAGTCTGTTCTATACATCTGAGTCTCTTTTTCTTTTTTGCATATAGGGTTATCGTTACCATCTTTCTAAATTCCATATATATGTGTTAGTATACTGTAATGGTCTTTATCTTTCTGGCTTACTTCGCTCTGTATAATGGGCTCCAGTTTCACCCATCTCATTAGAACTGATTCAAATGAATTCTCTTTAATGGCTGAGTAATGTTCCATGGTGTATATGTACCACTTTCAACAGACCACTTTCGTAAAGTTATTTTAACAGTTGCTCACACATTCATTTAGGGATGGCCTGAGGATCTGATTCCTCTGAACCGTTGGAAAACTGCAATTTATTTTATAAAGGTACTTTTACCCTTGCCTTAGCATCAATAAAAAAATCCCCAATTTTAGAACTGTGCCTTGTTTAAGTTTAAAACGTACATGTGAAAACTCCTGACAACACAGAGCTTATTTATTTTATACATAGAAGTTTGTGTCTCTTAATCCTTTAACCCATCTTGTCTCTCTACTCCTCACCACTAGCAACTACGTGTTTATTCCTTATATCTGTGAGTATGTTTCTGTTTGATTACTTAGTGTTTCAGTTTTTATTGTTATTTATTTATTAATTTAGTCTCTGCCACATAGCATGCAGGATTCTAGTTCCCCAAGCAGGGAGCAAACCCAGGCCCCCTGCAGTGCGTGTGTGCTGTCCTAACCACTAGATCAAAAGGGATTTGACTGTTTTCTTTTCTAGAGTTCAGAAGTAAATGATAACATACAGTAAGTATTTGTATTTTTCTGATTTATTTCACTAAGCATAATATTCTCCATATCCACCCATGTTTTACAAATCGCAAATTTTCACTCTTTTCTGTAGGTGAGTGGTATTCCATTGTGTGTGTGTGTGTGTGTGTGTGTAATTTATTTTAATCAACTCATATGCTGCTGGGCATTTAGATTGTTTCCATATTTTGGCTATTGTAAATAATGCGGTACAAATATTGGAGTCCATGTATATTTTTGAATGAGTGTTTTTATTTGCTTCAGATATGTATACCTAGGAGTGAAACTGCTGGATCATGAGGTAATTTTAGTTTTTGATTTTTGAAGACCCTCCATACTGTTTTGCATACTGGCTGTACCATTCTACCTTGCCACCAACAGCATCTAAAGGTTCCTTTTTCTCCACATACTCCCTAGCATGTTAATTCTGATCTTTTTGATCATACCATGTGGTCAGTGATACTGCATTGCAGTTTGGATTTGCATTTTTCTAGTGATTTAGAATATTGAGCATATTTTCATGTGCCTGTTGATCATTTGTATATCTTCTTTGTAAGAATGTCTATTTAGATTTCTGCCCTTTGAAAAACGAGATTTATTTTGTTTGCTATTAAGTTGTATGAGTTCTTTTTTAATTTAATTTTTAGTTTATACTGTAGAATAGTTAATTTACAATATGGTATTAGTTTCAGGTGTACAACAAAGTGATTGAGTTATATATATTCATAGATCTATCCTTTTTCAGATTCTTTTCCCTTATAAGTTACCTCAGAATATTGTGGAGAGTTCCCTGTGCTATACAGTAAGTCCTTGTTGAATATTTCACATATAGTAGCGTCTGTGTATTCATCTCAACCACTTAATTTATCCTTCCCTTCACTCTGTCCCATTTGGTAATCGTAAGTTTGCTTTTAAAATTTGTGTATCAGTTTCTATTTTCTGAATAAGTTCATATGTATCACTTTTTAGAGTCTACATATTAGCAGTATCATATTTGTCTTTCTCTGTTGACTGACTTCACTTCTATGATCATCTGCAGGTCCATCCAAGTTGCTGCAAATGGCAGCATTTCATTCTTTTTATGTCTCAGTAGTATTCCATTGTATATATGCACAACATCTTCTTTATCCATTTGGCAGTGGACATTTAGGATGCTTCCACATCTTAGGTATCATAACTAGTAGTGCATTATCTTTTGAGTTTACAGTTTCTCCCAATATATGTCCAGGAGTCCGATTGCTGGATCGTGGGGTAGTCTTCTTTTGTGAAGAGCCTTCATAGTGTTTTCCATACTGGCTACACCAATTTACATTCCCACCAACAGTGTTCAAGTATTTCTTTTTTTTTTCCATTTATTTTTATTAGTTGGAGGCTAATTACTTTACATCATTGCAGTGGTTTTT